GATTCATAACACATCGTTATAGCCATTTGCTTTACTGAATTTGTGGAAATCAGCCTCTAAGGAGAATGAAAATAAAGAGAAATCGTATCCGGCCAACATTTTACATCACAAAGCGACAAAACATTGGAGACAATCTAAACGTTGTTTATTATATTTCATTTCCATTTTAACCACACTTGTGGACAGGATATTGAGACAATAGTGATGACCGTTTCACTCTTCCTCCTCCTCCACCTCCTGCGGGCAGTCCGCCATGCTGGCCACGCACTGGGTGCTAGTCGCAGTGACCCTGACCATGTCCTTGGGGCACGCGCAGCCAATGACACACCTCTTGTGGCAGGTTTCTGGTTGCTCTTGTCCACAAACCGGTGGACACGTGGAAGCGCAGAACCTCCACTCCAAATCCCCTTGACATCGAATAGGAAAATTGGTTGGTCCCACAATCTCTCCTTGAAAAATAACAATAATGAGTGCAGATTGTCATTGTGACTCATTTGGTTGTACATGTATTCAGTGGGATCATTGGAAATGTAAAATAAGGTTCTAGTTGCTAAAAATCTAACCAAACATTGAAAAACAAAAAGTTCTGTACACCTGTTGATAAACAACAAAAACAATTGACTTTATCCATATCACCGTAAAACTTTATTTGCTAAACTGATAATAATGTCATAAGGTGACTTACTCCTACCGGAACAGTCTGTCCCAACTAGTAATACAACTAACAAGGTAATCACGATCTTCATCTTAACAGTGTTGATCTGGAAATATAACCATCTAAAATAAACGAAAACCAAAATCCATCTGGGTTAAGATATAAATTTTTGGCTTAGTTCGTGGTGTTGTGATGTTTACCTCAAACATTTTGATTTGAAATGAACAAATGAATACGTTTAAACCATGGTGATTTCGTTTAAACGCTTCACCTCAGTTTTAAATATTTTCCACCAGAATTGCAGTCTTAAAGGTATGATAAATTGTTTTTCGGTGGTCCTTCATTTTGACTATTTCTTGAATATGGATGAGTTAATATGATATACGGGTGCATATGCATGTAAAATCTGAATTGATTTGGGGTCCAAACCGCAAAATATAAACACAATGTGGCACACAGTGTAAAAGCAACTCTCTAGATTTTGAGCAAATCATTTCTTAACCCTATGATCGACCTATGATAGTTTTGCACATCATAAGAAAGAACGTATTCCTTGAGCAACAATGTCAGTGGTAGATAGTTCTGGGATGAATCCTTTTTGATTTAGAATCAAAACATCAAACTGGTGAATGGTTGATACGTAAGAGCCATATTCTTTGTTTTGCAAGTCGGGTTTAATAGGGTTTGTCCGACCTGTTGTCTGCATTAATATGAATCCACGTACGCACAGGTGCCAGGCGAAAAAGGATTTGCGGGCAATGTACGAGCCTAAGACTGCTATATGCATTTTCGTATCCACGAAACTTAAATGTAAGGTGTTACTATTTCATCCTGCGATGTGAATCTTTTTCCTTGAATCGCTTTGGGTCAGCCGTCATTTTTTAAATTTGAACAAAATTAAATTGTGTTTTATGAGCCAAGCAAAACCCTAACGACAAAAATACCGCCTAGTCTGCAAATTGGGGACATCTGGCGAACACCCTGCTCATCAATATTATGGAATTCAAACGTAAAGGGCTAATCATATTATTTGGCTGGACTGTGACAAGCCAGTAGAGTGAATTAAAAAAAACTTTATAGGATGATTTGCACCTTTAAAAATGCGTTAATTGACAGTGTTTTCAGACAATAGCATCTTCTTCCCCTCTCTATGAAAATTTTGGTCAGCTAATTTTAGAGTATAATTGATTATATTAATATAATTAATTGAAGCGATTTAGCGTGTGGTTGATCCCCGTTCAACTAATCAACAAAATAAAACGTTTACCCCACGGCCTCATGAACATTACTACGAACGAATGATCTGAATTTTGCCATTACTCACCGATTCAATTTCCAAATAGACAACAGATCGTCACGTCGTGCTTAAACAATAACACCTGGCTGTCTGCTTCACAAGGATCAAACCCAATATCTCGTAAGACCAGATGTTAACTTCGCGTTTATATGTGAAGGTGTCTGCTGGTCTACTATCACGTGACACAAGTTACGTCATCGCAAGAAAACGCCCTTTAACAATGATACCATATGACTGTTTTTTATGCCTAACATTCTAGTGTGCTTAGTATATGCACCGCTTTTAAAGTTGCATCAATTACATTGTGCATGCATCTACTTATACAAGTATTATCCTTCAACCAAAATTTACAATATATAGGCCTTATATGGACATGATCAATTTTGGTGTCAGACTTAAGAAATAAATGATATATTTCTCAATGTTATGACCGCTAACGGCCTGACTGCGTGTTTCTAATCACGTACATATTTGGTTTTAAACGATATAAGGCATATTAGTTACTCTACAATATAAATAAGGGGAAAGCATAGATTCCGTGCTGTTCAAACCAACCAATCGTTTTCCATGTGTCCATTTTCCATAGTCAATATCCGCAATGATAACTTCTAGGTTTCACTCAAGATTTAGTTATGATATTGGACGTCCAGTCTATTAAGCATGCTGGCGCTTACATTAATTCATCATCACAATGAAAAACCCTAAATAACATGATTACTTTTCATTCGACGCACGTGCTCATCTTTTGTTATATGTAGTTTAGGTATATTGTTTTAAACGCCAGTTTATGCTCTTAGATCAGGTAAGTAATAGACAGACGTTAGTAAGGTCTGTTGCTTATAAAAAATATGCATATTTCTTATGACATTACATCTAACCATATACTCGTATTTGCTTATACACTTTGTATGAAATGAAAACGATGTTGATCTCACATCACAAACAGACTTTTTTGTAAATACGACAGGATGGATGTACCTCCTGCCAGTATTGCACATCAAAGTCTTTGAGTCTAGACAATATCAAACAAAGATCGAACCAAAGGCAAAGAGATACAATTTATCCTTTGATCATTTGCATGAAAAGGGAAGGGTTAACATAATTATATATATGATCATGCATTGACAGTTTTGACTTAAAAACAGAGCCGGATTAACACACGTGACCATAAATGGACAGTTGTGGCTTAAAAACAGAGGTGGATTAACACAGCAACCGATAGTACATACATATGCATATTTGGCACGGTCCTCGCGCTTTAAAGGGGGGAGGCATAATTCAATGTATTTATAAATGTTGCCATGCAGTTGTATTGACTTTGACTTTGGTGTCTGACCAGATAATGATCATTTATTAAAATGTTTGTCTTGTGTCCAAATTAAAATCCAAAACACGATCAACTACGTACTGAAATCAACTAAGACAAACGGATTACTGTATATGTAGTTAATTAACATTAAAATAACGTTTTACGTTTATGCAGATTAACAACATCACACCAATATTATATGATTATTTACTTAAGCAATAGAAAGCATAATACATATTCTACAAAGCGTTAGCTTTGACATTGGAGTGTATGTGTTACCACCTGAAACTGAATGCTCTCCCATACTTGTGAGTGTAATACATAATACTTTTAGTAACCATGATAACAATAAAATAAAAATAATGTAATACGTATACATAAATCAAATTCCAAATCTATAAACCACATCGCAAATAAAAAAAGATACCTGCAACTAAACAATAATCACTAATCAGAAAATTTTTCCTAGAAATTCAGATTTCAAATCTAATATTGTAAGTGGTAAAACTACCTGCGTAAGGATATATATTACTCCCTCTACTTTTCATCCTTTAAAGTGCACAGTGGCAAATTCAGTAATGAAAGAGAGTTGGAAACGCTCCATCTTTGATGTAAAACGTGGATATTTTACACATACAATTACAAATACGATGTACAAATAAAAAAAGCAGCGACCAAGGCGGGGGGAGAAGCCCAATTCTTTTTTATATATTGAACTTGCAAGTTATGTTCCATATACGAGACTTACATCACAATTTGAATAGAGTTATTTAATCAGTTTGCCTGGCTTCTTAAATAAAAAAATCGTGGGCGTAAGTTGTTTGTTTTGTTTAATGTGGGTAAATACAAAGTTAAACAATTTGCTTTATTGACCTTGTAGTTATAAGTAAAAAGAAAAATAAAACGTACCCGACCAACACCTTATATCACAAAGTGAAAAAATATTGGTGACAACCGTATCGTTGTTTATTATATTTCATTTTCATTGAAACCAAACTTGTTGACAGAATATTGACACAATAATGACCGCTGTTTCACGCGTACTGCGGACAGTCCTCCATGCTGTCCACGCACAAGATGCTGTTAGCGGTGACCCTGACCTTGTCCCCTGGGCACGCGCAGCCACTGACACACATTTTGTGGCAGCCTAATGGTTGCTGTTGCCCGCAAATCGGCGGACAAGCAGAACCGCAGGAATTCCACTCCAAATTTCCACGACATCGTTTTGGAACACGTATGGGTACATTGGAGACTCGATGCACTAGAGGTTGATTAAAAATGAAATATACAATTATGAGTGTTTTTATCATTATATTGCAATTGATATAGCTCATTGGTTATATTTATTGTTATCATTGACGTGATATAAAAGAACATAACAAAAATCTGACCAATTAAGGGAAAGATAAAACGGTTTTACATAGCTGTCCTTGGACAAAAACAATCGCCTTTTTCCATTTTAACGTTGGATTCGTTTGATAAGCAGAATAATAACACAAAGCCACGTACAACTACAATCTGTTCCAACTGCTAGTACCACAAGCAAGACGATTACGATATTCATCTTTTCAGTGTTGACCTGGAATATAATGATTTAATATAAAAGAATACCAAAATACCCCCTGGGCGGCAGTAGTGGCTCTTTCTCTCCCCCTTTCCTTCTCTGCCTCTCTCAGCCATATTATCTCAATACGTTGGTGCCACATCCCAGTTTAGAACTTATTATATATGTATGTAACTTATATTTTACCAAGCATATATTTAACGGACATGTGTGACGAATTAATGTAATTAAACGGATTAAAACCCATAGACAAGAAGGTAGCAAAGTGCGAAGTTGGGTGACATTATAATTAGTAGATTTGTCATTAATATAGTTTTTTCATTTTGTGTACATTACGCGTTGAATCAAGGCGTGTGCTAACATAAAACACATTAGATAACATCGGCTGGACCATAACAAGACAATACAGGGTGAACTTTTAAAAGTTAGTCCACTAAGAGGGTAATTTGAATAGGACAATTTGCAAAATTGAAAATGCATTAAATGAACAGGTTATTTCAGACAACAGTGGCATCTTCCTCCAATCCCATGTAAGATTTGGTACGTGAATTCTAAGTTACAGTATGTTTAATTATATATGAATATATTTAACTGTATAGATATTAACGCGTGGTTGATCCGCTTTCAATTTATCATCAAAATTAAACGTCCTCGATGGCACATATATTCTAATACAAAGTTTCATCGACTGGACTACAATAGAATCATCTTAATATTGCCATCACTCACCGTTGCAATTTCCAAATAGACAACAGATTTTTGAGTTGGGTGCCTGTTAGTCTGCCTCAAAAAGATCAATACCGATTTCCCATAAAATGATAGACCGGACGTTTAAGTCGACTGTATATATGCTGGTGCAACATCACGTGACAAAAGTCACGTCATCGCGAGGTATCACCCTATTACGACTTTATCACGGCATTACAGCCCCATATTACAAGATATGAACACTGATCAATTGCGGTCCAATACTTGAGAATAAAAGAATGCTGACCGCACACTTGCTTATATAAATTACATGTAAGGCATTAAGCGATATAAGGGACGGTACAGAATGATGGAATTAAGAGAAGGCAATCAAAAGAAAAGAATACTTTCAAGCCAACCGATTACTGAAATTTATTTCGAACTTTTGTGTTGCACGTGATCGACAATGATTGCCCAGAAGCTATTCGTATGACACCCTGCTAAAAAGTTAAATACCTAATACCAAGCGCAGATATGATTTCCAAATAGGCCCTTATAATTTAGGATACTTCGTACGTATGCTGAAATACCATAAGCATGTATGTATTTATTTCACACTTTGGACTTGTATGAAAACTTCCAAGTTTCACTCAAGGTTCAGTTATAATATTGGACATCCAGTCTGTTAACGTTAGTAGGCCTATACAAGCGAAAGTACGCTGACGCTTACATCAATTCGTCATCACAAAAACCCTATACCAATTATATGACTTTTTTTTATTCAACGTCTGTTCTCATGTACAGAGGCCTTTCCTAAGTTGTCATAGGTGGCTCAAGTTTTTGTTTAAAAAGCCGGTTTATGCTCTTAGTTCAGGTAAGTAATAGACGGACGTTGGTCACATCTGTTGCATATCAAAACTATACATATATCTAATTAAATGATATCTAACCACATACTCTTATTTGCTTACACGTCGTATGAAATGAAAACGACATTGCATCTCACATTGCATATAGACTTTATGTAAAATGATAGGATGCCACATTGTACCTCCTGCCAGCATTGCATCTCAAAGCCTTTGAGGATATAAACAAGATCAAACGAAGATCTAAAACAAAGACAAAGAGATATATTTTTAGTTATCCTTTCATCATTTCATCAAAAGGGAAGGGTTGGTGTGTGTTGACATGAATATATATATGTATCCATACATGGACAGTTGTGACTTAGAAACCAAATCAGATTAACACAGCAACCGATTGCACATACACATGTATTTCCCACGGTCCTCGCTTTCTAAAGGGCCCCGCCCTCAATCCATACAATTGTAAAGGAGACGGAAAATTAAAAATGTTATCATGCAGTTGTTTATTGACTAGTAGTTGGGCTTATCAATAATTTTTTTGAAAAATCACCGTTAATATGATAACCCAGTATGTTTAGAGTCCATAATAAAATCCGAAACATGTTCAATTTAATCCTGATACCATTCAAACCCAACTTAGATACATACAATTAATTTCTTTATTATAAGCGTTCAAACGAAACAGATTTATTCAAATTATTTTTTTAAACAAGCAACAAAAAGCATACTACTATTCTACAATGCGTTAGTTGCGATATT